AGTTCTCACAGTAATTTGTCCATGAAGTTGTAAGGTGAATGTGAGGACTTGTGGTTAAAAAAGAAAACAAACCAAACCAGTATGTTTTTCCAGAAACCTTTGTCATTCCAAATGAACATAAGCTAGTTACTACTAACGATTTCTATAGTATTTCTGGTATGAAAAAGGTTTTTTTATGTATCTCTCACTTATTTACAGTTTAATCATCTTGTAATTTCTCTGCAGTTGTTAAAGAGATGAGGTGTCATATAATTCCCTTAGCTGCTTGAAAGAACTTGCAGGAATTGGGTGACAGATACATAACCTGGCATGGTGAACTGTGCCTCTAGAGTTATTGGAGTCTTATTAATATCTCTTCATAATTTTTTACATTTTCCTGCTGCATTTCTGCAAACTCCGAAGTGCTTCTGAAAGAAATGTTTACTAATGTTTGTTTGTTTTGCTTATGCTCAGGTGGATACACTGAAGTAGATACAGGTATGACTACAGTCACAAAATAGTGTCTGGGACACTTAAAGCACTTGCTAGACTTTTACTGCTTCCAAGTTAACCACTCACTCCCTTTATTAGGGAAACTGATTTATATGTTTTTAGTATAAATCTCTTAAATAGCTATACATACATAATTTGTTTTTATAATTTGCTATGCGTTTATGCTTTTATAGCCCAAAGAGCTCATATATTTATTTTAAATGTGAGGGAATTATTACATTTTTGCTATCAATATTGCATATATTACTAAAAAATCTTTTGAAATCAAACCTTTTGAAAGGTCAAGTTGCTTTGTTTTCCTTTGCTTAAACTTTTGTCATCCACCAGTCTTTTTTCACTGTAGTTGTCTGAGCACTTTACTGGTCTTGACAACCTTGCATTTAGCTTTCAGCTTCTTACTTTCTACTGGTGGCAGTTGATTTTCTCTGTGACTGTAAAAGTTCCTCCTTTTGTTGCTGTTTATAGAAACATTTGAAGTTTGTTGTATTGTACAACTGAGGCAGTCTATCTTTTTTTAAAATATAATTTATGATAACAGTGTAATGGATCTTCATTACTCCGAAAGACTTCTGTAATTGCTGTAGGGGTATCATTTAGCCCTTGCCATGAGGTGGCATGGGCCAGGGCACTCTGGTGTCTAGTGGGATCTTCAGAAGAATTTATAGAATTTTGGTAGAAACGAATGAAAATTAAGTGCCTAGAAATTCGTCACCCCTGAGCACTTGCTGTATTTTTATGTACTTGATGTGTTTTAAAATATAAATATGCCACCCAATAAAATATTTCAGAGTTTAGAATTTAATTTGATGATCCTAAGGAGAGCTGATGGAATAGCAGCTACTAGAACTACTGCCCAATACTTTCTCTGTACTTAGAGCAAATATTAGTGCTACTTCTTGCTATAGGATATGGAGTTTTGCTTATGGACTGCTGCTGCAGTCATGATAGTTTTTGGAAATTTGTGAACAAATGTAAAGGAATAAGGTTGTTACAAGTGCACAGTAATTCGGACGAGGGAGAGGTAAAGTGAATGTATTTATAATTAGGAGATTGCTCCAAGCTTTACAGTTAAAGTTTAAAAAAAAAAAAAAAATACTCCAATGTGCAACTGAAATTAGGAGGGAGGAAAGAATATTTATTATGCGTTTCAGATTTGTAATGGAATTTAAGGAATATCTAGATCCTATTTCACTTTGGCTTCACATCCCCATTATTTCTTGACTAACAGAAAAAAAATATTGTAATGATTTCTTTTAATATCTTTACACTGATTGCATTCGACTCATCTTGTTATAGCAAGTTGTATTACTTAGAGTGATATACTACATTTATATAGATTAGACAAGAAACACTATAGGAAGTTTTAATAGAGATCATGCAATGCAATGCCTCTGGAAATACAGAAATACCTGAAGTTATCGATTGCATACTACTGACTGAGTATCCCCAGAGGGAAAATGGTTTCTGAGACAAGTAGCAAGTCTTTGTGGTAAAAGAGAACTTCTTTATAAAAGAAAATCTATAGGTTCATTTCTTCTTCTGTCAGTTGTGATCAGGTAAATTGTTTTAGTTCTATGAGTTCTCTCAGAACTGAACCTTAATACATCTTCTCTGAAATAAAAATTTATATTAAATCTTGTATAGTAGTGCATGCTGTTCAGATCTATAAACTTGTACTGAATTATGAGGAAAAGAACACGTGCATATGCTGTTACTATCTCAGTGGCAAGCTGTGGATTGTTGTGAGTGTAGTTTCTATACTGATGTTCATTGTGTTTGTCTAGTGCATTTCTTTTGAGGTGCCAATGATTTGTCTCTTAAGAGGTTGTTGAAGCAAAAGGGTTTTCAGTGAACTCATTTTCATTATGAAACTTGATATGTATACCTTCTGCATAGTTTGAATTAACACATTTTACACATGGCTCTTCGGTTCTTTTGAAATCATTTCACAGGAGTGTTCTCAGCACTGTGTTGCTAGTAGAAGAATGTATCTCTGGGCACATGGACAAGGATGTATTGTAATTTAGGGCACTTCTTTTGTGAATGTTGTACCTAAAAAGAGGAAATAAAGTATTTACAGACTAATTATTTACTACTTAATGTAAGCTGAAAAATCTCTCTCCCAGTCTTAAGGTATTTTACAAGTATTGGTCCTTATCTTCCTGCTTGCTTAAGATAGTGTCAATATATCATTCCTTTTTTATCTTTTACTTTTGACCAGCATGTTAAATGTTGCATAAACTTCTAAAGTGATTGTATTTCTAAGACTTCATAGTAGTAATATTCAGTAAAGAGAATCTACAAGATTGTTGGCACTGCAGGAAAGCCTGATATGAATTTGATATTGTATAGGTATGATTTTGTTGTGAATGAATAGTGTATCTTTGCAATGTATTGAACTTGAATTAAAAAAAATACATTTATTTTAATACCCTACCTGGCTGTGGCAGAGATGCGTTTGCTTACATGCATATATAAAAACAAGTGTGTATGTGTGCCTATTTATAGATATATTATATATGTGCATATAACTGAAGTAATGATTTTTAAAGTACTATATCATTGTACTAAAATTACAGACTGGATTCTGCTTTTTTTAAGTAAGCAATGTTTTTAATTCCCTATGATGTTTACAAAAAACCTAGTTGCTTATGTATGAATACTTTCATGAACAATAAATATATGCCCCAAAAGTGTGATTTAAATGGAGTGTGTGATAATATTTTTTGATACTATTAATAATGAGTTTAAAAAGTGAATTTTTACTTTTTTATTACAATGTGTGTGTAGAATTTAATTAGACCAAAAACAATGGGCTTATCACAATGTTTTTAAAGAGACAACACTCCTAAAATTTTTAGGCCTATTTGTATGACAGTTTGTTAGGCTACTGAGTTCACTAGTGCATAGCATGGCAGGTACCTTTGAGTCCTGATGTTTGACTGTATTTTGACAAAGTAAAACTGAAGTTTATGAAGTTTAAGAGGGATGGGCGCACAAATAATTAGCCTTGCAGGAGAATGGTTCACAACTGAATACTACAGTGGGATCAAAGAATTATTTGTGGAATATCCAGGATTTTAATGCAATGAAAATTTGAAAAATTAATTCT